CCTCATCATGTTTTGGTTTTACATACATACATACATACATACATACAACTCTACTATGCTTTTATTTATCCTCATCTCACTTACTGCATAACCATTTGGGGTAACTCACCAAAAACCCATCTTCATTGTATGATATTGTCACAAAAAAGAGCGATACGCTTAATCTTCAATTTGAACCCTTTCTCTCCCACTAGCTCTTTTTTTAGTAAACATAATATTTTGTCGATTAATTGTTTATACATTTATTTTACAGCTATTTTTGTATTCAAATTCTTAAATAATTTACTTCCCTCCTTTTTTTCTAACTTTTTTACACTCAGTGAATCTGTTCAAACTCTCAAAACTAGACACACCACTATCTTTTACTCAGTAAAAACTCGCCTTAAACTCATCTCTACAAGTTTAAAACAACTGGCCCTAAAATTTGGAAATTATTTGTGCCTCAGGCCATTCAAAACATAACAAACAAGCAACTCTTCAAAAAAAGGTTGCAATCTCAGCTTTACTTACTTCACCCCGACACCACCATCTAACGATTTATATACATTAATATATAGCTGTTGTTTAAATATGAATAGAAGTGTGGGTGTGTTGTGCGTGCGTATGTGTGGTGCGTGTGTGTGGTGCGTGTGTGTGGTGTGAGTGCGTGGTGCGTGTGTGTTTTTGTCTGTCCGTTATTATTATGATTATTTGTCTGGTTAAGAAGTATTATCTGAATATATTCAATTGGAGTTAACATTTTTATAGGATTTCGATATAGTATTTGAATGTATTTGAACGCCGAAATTTAGTTTTTTTTAATTTTCTAACCTTTGAACCTTTATGTTTATTAATGACTTAGTTAAGGGTGGCCTCTCCACAAGTTTATTTTAAACTTATTTGGTCCTCTATAATGAAAATAAAATAAAATAAAAAAAAATAAAATAAATAAATAAATCATCAGTAGTTATCATCATCATCATCATCATCAGTAGTAGTTATCATCATCATCATCAGTAGTTATCATCATCGTCATCAGTAGTTATCATCATCATCAGTAGTTATCATCATCATCATCAGTAGTTATCATCATCATCATCAGTAGTTATCATCATCGTCATCAGTAGTTATCATCATCATCAGTAGTTATCATCATCATCATCAGTAGTTATCATCATCATCATCAGTAGTTATCATCATCATCATCAGTAGTTATCATCATCGTCATCAGTAGTTATCATCATCATCAGTAGTTATCATCATCATCATCAGTAGTTATCATCATCATTGTCATTCTAATCAGCACCATCATCACCACTAAAGTTACTATCATCACCAACATGGTCGCCTCACCATCATATCAGAATCATCACTATCATCATCAACGTCGTCGTCGTCTTCATCGCCATACATCAGCTTCATCATCACTTCAATGTCACCATATAGAACGTCAACGCGTGCTTACGTAATTTGTGGAGGAGCAAATTTTAAAAACACTTTTGTAATGGCGAGTCGGACGTGGAGCAACCAGCTTCTGAGTGGAGGAATTGTGAATAATTCATCCTCTGTGCATCTTGCAACTCTCCACCTTTATTATGATGCACTGTCTCTTACACATACACGCATAAAAGAATGTCCGTCTCTATGTGTGTGTATGTCTATATGTGTGCGCGTATGTGTCTATGTTTGTTTGTATGCTTGCGTTTGTGTGTGTGTATGTCTAGATGTGTGTGTGTCTATGTTTGTTTGTATGCTTGAGTTTGTCTATGTTTGTTTTCGTTTGCATGTGTGTGTGTGTGTGTTTTTGCAAAAAACTTTGTTTTTGTATGGACTTAAGCATATGTGTGTGTGCGTTTGTGTGTGTGCGTTTGTGTGTGTGCGTTTGTGTGTGTCTGTGTGCGTGTGTGTGCATGCTTGTATGTGTTTGTCTGTGTGTGTATGTGTGTGTTTGTGTGTGTGCGTGTGCATCTTGTTTGTTGAAGTTTGTGAATTTGTTTTTGTTTACATGAATGCGTGTGGTTTGTGTTTGCTTGTATTTCATTTTAGAAAATAAATTAAATATTACAGTGAAGTTATATTTACTTTCTCTATAATAATGATAAAATAACCAACAAATATTTAAATAAATAATAAAATAATAATTAATATGATTTTTATAAAAACCAAGAATAATACTTGTGTTACGTAAATTTTTACAACTTCAAACACGTCTTGATAGTTTAACCGTACTAAAAAAATCTTCCGGTAGTTATTTAAAATAATTTAGTAAAAGTTCTACGGTTGAAGTAATAGCATTTTAGATTCTAAATGTTACTTTTTACTGAAAAGTTTTAAGTTAAAAATGTGTGAAAATATTTGTCGAAGAATGTTTACTGACCGACTTTTCTGAATGTTTAGAGCGTGGAATGAAATGACTGGCACTAATATGTTTATCGGTATGTTTAGTGGCTATAGTTCAAATGTTAAGTACGCGATTTTAAAGTTTACCTTTGAATTGGCAAAAAGTTCTAATTAAAATTTTTAAAAAAATCAACAGTTTTTTGATAATCTGGACCAGTTTTGGGAATTCAAACAATTGTATCTGAGCATTTTTTTCATAAAACCATTAAAGCTAACCGAAGAAATAAATTGAAATAAATTGTGTCCACTCATTTTGGTGATTAACGTCCTTATAAAATCATCTTCATCATCCCGTTGTCAATACAATATCATTACCATTTTATAAAATTATCATTATTAACATTAACTATTCATTAATAAGTTAATTAACCAGCCAACCAATCAACCAACCAATTAAATAAAAAATCAGACAACCGACCAATCAATCAACTAACATAACAACTAACCGACCAATCAACCATCCAACCAACTAATCAACAAACCAATCATCCATCCAACAAACCATCAAAATAATCAACCAACCAACCAATGAGCCAACCAACCGACCGACCAACAAACCAACCAACCGACCGACCGACCGACCAACCAACCAGACACAAAAACAGGCGACTCAAGGAAAATGCACTGTCCTTC